TTCTTCCATGACATTCTCTTTCATCTTCTGTGTTATTTCTCGGAGTTGCTCATTTTCCCTTGTAAGAGATCCTTTCTGTCCAAGAAGTTCTTGAACAAGATCTTCATATATGTTGCAGTTCTTTTCAGCTTGGTGACCCCTGTGATCCACTCTTGTGGGGTACTTCCCAGGCCAGTATTTTGAAAAGCTTGACTGATTTTCTGAAAATCTTCATGCATAGTTTTCATTTCTGTGCTCAATTTCTTGTTTTGGTCGTTCAAGTCCTTCAAATAACATGCTTGAGCTTCACAAAAACCTCCACTAATCTGAATGCCCTGATTGATGCTCTTACCATAGACTGTTTTGGTATCAATCTGGTAGGATCTTTGTGTAATACTTTGGTATTAATATAACAGGATCTCTGTGTGCTTTGCTTGCTTCTATCCTCGGAGTTTCCTCAGGATGTCTTTCTTTGGCCGCATCATATTTTGTTTAATCATAAAACTTTTGTCCATTTACTATTTCTTTCCAATTTGATGAACAGTCTTTTAAGTCACACCTTTTGGTTATGCCATGATCATGTAATGCAACAAAGAAATCAATATGAACGGATTAGAGCAACGTAATATACATGAAAAAAAATAAAAAAATAGAATAGTTAGTACCAACTAAAAAAAACTATATATCAATGTATAAATCTTAACCTCATGCTTTCTAGTTCCATGCTTTGTTTGGAAAATTTAACTTAACCGCACGATTTCTAATTCACATGCATTTATTCAGGAAAAGAAAGGAAATAAAATAAATTAAAAGCTAGAGCTTATTTCTCCTTTGTGTATACCTACTGACAAAATTTCGGCATAGTTTCAGATCGGGAGAGTTTCTAGGGTTTATTATATGCAGGTTTTCAGTTCTAGGAGTATAGGTACTCGAACTGTCCTTGTTGATGCCCCCTTGGGCTATCAAACCCTCGATCATAGTCCATTACAGACTTAAACGGATCGAGTTCAATTCGAGGGGATACATTCTCTATGACTAACACGGAGAATAAATTCTCACGAAGACATAGAGCATATGAACCCCAAAAGTTACTTGCTAGTCTGACACGGAGAATAAATTCTCACGAAGACGTCGCTTTCACTCCCACTTAAAAGGGACAAACTCAATTATAGAGCTTTATGTTATGCAAGTGTTGTGTGTGAGGAGAAATGTTAAAACCTCTAACAAACAAATAAAATAATTAATTCTTGAATATAATAAATAAATAAAATAAAAAATAATAATATATAAAAAAATAATAAGTAATAAAAAATTTGAAAGAAAAGAATTAAAAATTAAATATATGAATTTTTAATTTCTAACTGATAGAGACAATTTACAATTGATTTTTAAAAGTTTGACCAATGAATCCCCAGAGGAGTCGCCAAGCTGTCGTAACCGGTTTTCGTCCGGGCACGAAATATTAATTTTTGGCGGGGAAATTAATGTTAATAAATAATTTTAAAAATAATTTGTGAGTCGCCATCGACCTTTTGGATCAGGTAGGTCGAATACCTAAAATTTTCTTTTAAAATAGTTTTTAAGAAAACCATATTTAAAAGATGAACTGATCTGCGTTTTATAACCAAAAATTTGTTCTTTTTAATAATAAAAAGGGGTTCGTGGTCGGTTACGTTTAGGGAAGGATTAGCACCCCTACAACGCCCAAAATCGGTACTTTTTAATTACAAATTGTCTTTATTATTAAAATTTTAAAAATTCAAAAATATATTTAATTTATAATTCTATTATTTCAAAATTATAAAAAAATATTTATTTATTTAAAAATATCAGAAAAGAACTTCTAGGTGCCTTAAGACAGCTCTTTTCTTTGATATAATATTATTATTTTTTTTAATATTAAAATATCATAATAGGACATCCAGTTGTATTAAGACTGTCCTTTTCTTCGATATTAAAAATAAATATTTAAAAAAAAATACTATTTATTATATATTATAAAAATATTTAATAAAATATTTAATAATATAATAAAATACAAATACTACTAAAACAATATATTTAAAACAATAAAATAAATGAAACATATAAAATAACTGACTAAATTACAATAAAATAAAATTAAAAATCTAATTCATAATTAATCTAAATTATAGGGATTAAATATGTTATTTCTTTATTTTATTTATTTAGTGACTAAAATAAACTTATTTAAAATTCGAATATCAGATTAAAATAAATTAAAAATATAAACTCAGTATTAAAATATTATTTATTAAAATTAGGGATTGAATATATTATTTATCCTAAATATTTAAAACATACAGGCTAGGACTAAATGAAATAAAATAAAATTACGAGACTTAATTAAAAATATAAGAATTGATTTTAGTGACAAAAATAGAAATTTACAAATCTAGGATGACTACGCGAGAGGTTTGACCCGTGTGCGAAATTACAGATATACCCTGCCCAAAACGGCGTCGTTTGGGAGGGTATATATGATCAAATGGCTGGCCCGTAGGGCCAGCATCCCTCATTCTCTCTTCTTCGTCTCTCTCTAACCGAGAGAGTTTATAAAACTCTCTCGCCTCTCTCTAACCGAGAGAGTTTCCGGCCGTCGCCGACACCGGACTCCGGTGTTGGTCTCCACCCGACTACCACACGCGGTGGCCGGATTTTCCTAAAGACCTAAAATAAAGACCCTCCAAGGCCGAATCTGGCCTTGGTTTGCCCTAAAAAGCTATGGATCGGAGCAGATCTAGAGAAATACCTTCGGGTATTTCGAATGTTTCCTCGGTACGTAGCGTCTCCGGTTACCTTGTGGTTTCCTCGTAAGTTCTTTCTCTTTTCTTTCTTTGTTTTGTTTGCTGCTGAGGGTTGTTATTTTTTCTTTTTCTTTTTTTTTTTGTTGTCGTCTCTGCCGTGTCTCTCCGCTGTCTGTTCTTTCGCAGGTATGGTGGCTTTTATAGCCACCACGAGGTTCTGTTTGGACCGGTCCCGAGAGGGATGTCTAGGTGAGTCACCATAGCTATGCTGGTGACTCACCATGGAGCTCGATTTGGGCTGCCATCTGGTGTTCTGGAATTTACGGCGGTGAGGTGGCGTGGCAAAAGCAGCGTCGGCAGCGACTGGTTGGACCATCTGGCAGTGGAGGCGTCGGCAGCAGCGTCTGGAAGCTGGAGAGGCAGCTTGAGCCTTCTGGAAACGGCGGCTGGGAGCTAGATACAAACCCTAAATGGGTTTAGGGTATATATTTGGGCTTTTGGTTGGGCCGGATTTGGCCCGTTTGTAATAATAATTAATAATAATATTAGTAATAAATATAAAATTAGTAATTATAATTATAATAATAATAATTATAATAATAATAATAATAATAATAATATTTAAATGAAAAAATGAGTATCTTCAATGTGTTTATATTTTTTCTCTAAGTGCTTCAATGTATCATATTTTATTTTGTTTAAAAGCCTCATTAGCATAACTTAACCGATTATATAATTGGATTAAGGTAGTATTTATGTATTTTAAATATTAAGAAGGGACAGTCTTAAAACAACTAGATGTTTTTCTGATATTTAAAATAAATAAATATCCCACTAGAAAAACCTAAAAATTGATTGCATTTAAAATTAATTAATTTTGAAGGGAAAAGGAAATATTCATTATTTTAAACTTATCGAGACAATTTGCTAATTTTATTAGAGATTAAGTCTCGGTGTTTTTAAATTATTGAATATCCCTTATCTTTTCTAATAATATTCGGATTAATAAATTTAATTTCTTTCTTTGGTAGAATAATAATTTTTTTATATGGAATCCTTAGGAAAAATTATTATATTCTTTTTATTTCAGTTGGGAAGAGAAATATTCGTCCTAAAGTATTTTAGGGAGTATTTTCTCTTCAATTGGAAATAAGAGAATATTTTATATTTTTCCTTAGAATTTTTGTTCTATAATATTTGTATGGTTGAATTAGGAATAATGGAATCGTGATCTAAATATATATTCGAATTCTTAGATTTCTACTATTTAGAGACAATATATAATCGATGGGTACTAATTTTGGGCGTTGTGGGGGTGCTAATCCTTCCCCACACGTAATCGACCTCCGAACTCTTTTTTATTACTAAAAATGAATTTCTGATTATACGTGGATCGATACATCTTTTAAAATGATGTTTTTCTTAAAAAAACTCTTTTAAAAGAAGATTTTTGGGTATTCGGCCTACCTAACCCAAAAGGTCGATGGCGACTCCGAAAACATTTCTTTTACAAAATCGGGTTTTCACGAAATGAGTCGAGACTCGTCGTATCGCCGGAAATCGGTTACGACAATTAGCTTCAACGTTATATTTGTCATAAGAGACAAATGTGTTTTATTTTATTGGGAAGAATTCAATCTGATTGTATTCTTTTCAAGTTTAAAAAATTCAAAAGTTAAAAGAAAAATGTTGATGAGACCATTTTTTCTTTTATTGGGACACTTAGTCTAATGAGTTAGTAGGTTATATAATTAATTAAAACAATTGTATTGAATACTGTGACATTTAGTTGAAATTATCAAAATACCCTCGATTTTGGACCCATTTTTTAATTCCTTTATCCGCCACTAGTGCTGAGGCAACATCTTGATCTACCTTCAGTCTCTGGTTCATGCCAAGAGCTTTTTCTACCTCAGAGTCTTCACTTCTTGGGTGAAGTAACTGTTCCAAGTTTCCATTTGGCATGAACTTAAGGATTAGTGCCTTGAAATCGCCTGAACATACACTTATGATTTTAACGAGGTTCCGATGTCGGATTCGTCGAAGAGCTTCGCATTCAGCTAGAAAGTTCTTGGAAGCTCCATGTTGTCCCATTTTGAAGACCTTGATAGCTGCCAAACTTCCATCATTGAGAACACCCTTGTAAACTGATCCAAAGCTACCCTCTCCAATCAAATACTCTGAACTAAAATTCCGGGTAGCGAGTTTGAGATCGTGTTGCCTATGCATTGGATATATCTCCGGTGAATCAGCTTACTCCTTAACCTGATGGACGCCTGAATCCTTCTTTCTACTCACAAACCAAAAGACTAACACAGAAGCCAAGATGAATGCAAACGACGCTATTAGTACAATTCTTAATCTCGAACCGCTGAACTTTTCTCCAGGAGAATCGCATTTGGGTAGTTCTAAGTCAGGTACTCCATCACAAAGCTCGAGATTTTCGGAAAGGGAAATGACTGTCAAGTTTCCGAAAACCCCTGCTGTTGGAACCTCCCCTGAGAGTTGGTTCCTGGACAGGTTTAAAACTTGCAAGAACCTTAAAGATTCTAGAGAAGCCCGTATGTTACCGGTGAGCTTGTTTGAAGAAAGGCTAATATACTCCATCCCTCTCAATTTGTCCAAAGAATTTGGTATGGTTCCTTGAAACGAATTTCTAGACATATCTAAATACAGAAGGATTGAACAATCTCCAATGTGAAAGGTATATCACCATATAATCGGTTATTCCAGAAGTCTATCGCTTGAATCATATCTAGACTACCGATTTCGGGCGGAACGGATCCGGTTAAAGAATTGAAAGACAGGTTCAAGACCTTACCGAAACTCGGGATTTGAAATATATCTCTTGGAATGGTACCATTAAGCAAGTTAACTGAAAGGTCTAGCAACTGAAGACGCTGACAGTTTCCGAAGCTTGAAGGAATGGTCCCTTCTAAGAGATGAACTTCAGCCAAATATGTCAAGTTTCCAAGAGACTCTGGTATGTTTCCTGAGAATCTGTTTTCATGTAGCAAAATGTACTGTAAGTTTGGCAAAGTTCCTATTGAAGGTGGAATGGTTCCGGTTAAGGAATTGTGTTCAAAAGCGATCAGGATTACGTTGATCAAATTGCTTATTTCTCTAGGCAAGGTCCCTTCAAAAAAGTTGTTGTTCATCACCAACAATGAAGTTGTCTCGAGAGGTTGCCTATGGAAGATGGAAGTTTACAGGTAAGACGGTTTTCGGCCACCGAAAATACTTCAAGTTGGGGAGAATTTGCCAAAGAAGTAAGGAAATCCATGCTCTTGGTTCATCATTAACCAGCTCATTACTCTGTAAGCTTAATATTTGAACATTTGGTAGGTTCCCTAGACATGGGATTTGGCCACTGAAGCTGTTGTTTGCGAGGTCGACTCGAGTTAAGCTTGAAGCATTGCCTATGGATGGTGGTAAGCGTCCGGACAAGAGATTCCCTCCCAAGTAAAGGGTTGTTAAGCTAGTTAGATTAGTAAACATGTCCGGCGGAAGGGTACCTGTGAGTCTATTGACAGCCATGGCTAAGACAATCAATGAGGAACAATTGAACAGTGAACGTGGGATTTCACCAGAGATGCTGTTAAGACCGATTTGAAGATTGATTAAGAACGGAAGGCGACCTAACCCTTCTGGTAGAGGCCCTTTCAAACTGTTGGACATCAGAACAAGATTCGACAACGAGGAGAGATTCGCATATGAAGACGGAATATGTCCTGTGAGAAAATTCGTCGAGAAAGATACGTCTGCAAGCTCTGACAGTGCACCTAACTCACTTGGAATGGTACCTTCCAGCCGGTTGACCGACAGATCAAGATAGGAAAGCCTTGACACCGGTATCGTTCCTTGAATTCGATTAGAACCAAGAAAGAGTGTTCTTAACTGAAAAAGACGATCAATTTGATATTTGGTTAAGAAAAAACGTTATTAATTTTATTTTATTTTTAATAAAATAAATAATAAAAAAATACTTAAAATATTATTATTTTTATATAAAACATTAATAATTTTAAAAAATCCATTTAAGTGTCTAATAATAACAAAACATATAGAAAAATAATAAAATTAGTAGTGCTTTTTTAGATATGTTAATAAAACTGGTAAAAAGCTCAATAATAACAAAATCGATAAAAATAATAATATTTCTAATAATTTTTTATCGATTTTGTTAAAAAATAACAAAATCAATAATATATTTTTTTAACCGTATATTAAGGGTGAAGCACGTGAGAGACTTTCCTGTTTCTTCTCGAGGACTGCTACCAAAGAGACTGTTGTTTTGAAGGTTGAGGTGGTTGAGAAATGAAAGGTTCCCAATGTGAGGAGCAGTGGTGCCCACAAGGCCAAGGTTTTCAAGGCTGATGCTTGTAACTCTGTTTAGTGACATCACAAGTAACACCGGTCCAGTTGCAGAAGGGAGAATTGAGATTCCAAGTCCCAAGAACACACCAAGAGGATCTTAACGTCGGATAAAATAATGATTATTTTATATGCATTTCAACAGATGATTCATAATAAAAAATTCGTTCAAAAAAATCAGAGAAAAAAAAGTCTCTAGGGTTTAATAAAATATTATAAAATCAAACAATCCCCAAAATTAATCCACAAGCCGGACTGTTATAGTCAAAAATCGTCTTTATTCGAATTTTGTCAAAAATAAAAAAATCTCAAAAATCACTCTAAATTGAAATTCAAAATAAAATAAGAAATATCTAAAAAATCCGGCCTAAATCGGATTTAAATTGACTTCCTAATTGACAATCGAAATATTACCATAAATAGTAAAAAATATCTAAATCTAATAATTTGGAAGGAAAAACGACAGAATTTGAGGCTGAAAAAAAGGCCACATGGAGCATAGCTCAATGTGGAGAGCGTAAGCGTCGAAAAGAACTTTTCGGATTGGAGTCTTATGCGCGATTCTGACACCTGTAGCCAAAGTTATGGCCAAAAGACTGAAATATACTCAAAACGACTCCAATGAGAAACATGTCACAATCAATTCTCGCCTTTGCGCTGATCTGTCAATTCATGGTATCTCAGCGCCATCAATGTGCAATCTGACAACTCAACATCATCTGTCTAGGATCCCCTGCATCAGATCATGAGTTATCTGGACCTAAATACAAGAAGGGATTCCTGGTCAGTATTGTTGTTGAACCTTGGAAAGCCTTGGGAACAACCCAGCAGTGGATGGAAAGTGAGGCAGATTAGAATCAGAAGGATGATTTTTGTGGCCATTTTTGTTTACTCTAGCCTTGGCTACGTTAAGGTGGAGGATGGGTATACAAAATTTTCTGACTTTAGTACTATATTTAGTTAGTTTCTTAGCTGCATTGTCCACGAAAAAGAAGAAAAACAAAGAAACTATTGACTTTTTGTTTGACTTTCTTGAAAAAAAAGTCTCTATATTATGGTATGAAGAGGTTGTGCATCACAAAACAATCAATCTTTTGAAAAGAAGAATAATCAAAGGATCAGTTTTTGTTCTCTTAGCTAATCAACTCTACCTCACCCGAATTTTGTTCTCTTAATGATTCGAATTCGAATAGCATATTTAGCCATTTAGGTGAGTTTAACAGGGTATGTTCTTCTGCTCCGTTTAAAGGTAAAGTGATTGTATTTAACAGATTGACAGTGGAATTAAAATAGTATCACGTGTTCCTTTTGGGTGTTTAAAGTCGATGAGTGAGATGGATGGGTGGAGTCCCATTGCGAATAATAAAATTCTTTTGTTTACTTCCCTGGTGAGTACGCAAGCTGTATGGAAATGGCGATGAAATTTCGCAGCTTATCATCAGATATATATGATCGGTATATCTCCGACTTATTTTCAGTCAGATATAGCTGCTGCTTTGCATTAAAAGGACGCCACAAGTTTTAAGGATCTCCTGTTTGTTATGGAAGTGGACATGGACTGTTCTGTTTTGTCTTCCTTTCATTTAAATTAAAAAAAAGTCAATATCAGACCTGTTATGCTTAAAAGGGTTGGTAGTATTATATAAGTACCTGGATATTTGGTTTCTGTATATTGTCGGATAATTTTTAAACTAAACGATTTTAATTTAGATTTTTTAAATAAAACAGACAAGTTTAAATTTGGGAGATTTAGTAATGTCCAAAATTTTATTTAGTACGTCTGTAGAAGAACCTCTCTCCTTCACTTGTGTTTTGCTGATGATTTTTGTCATGATTTTATGGATTTTATTTTGGGAGTTCCAAGTGTTCTCGAACAGTTTTATGAGATGTTTAGATTGAAGTTTAATGTAGCTAAAACCGAATTCTTTACTTGTGGTGTGGATGAAGATAAATTTGATGAAATCCAAACTGTTACTGGGTTTAGGTTGAATAGATTATCTCTGAGGTATCTTAGTGTACCTCTAATAACTAAAAAGTTCATTGAAAAAGATTGTATGCCCTTATTGGAGAAGATTAGAGCTAAGCTTAGGGCTTAGGGCTTAGGGTTTGGTCTAGAAGGAATATTAGTTATGGCTGTTGGTTACAGCTTAATAAGGTTGTATTGTTTAGTATTATCAATTTTTGGTGTAGACAACTTATTTTGCCCGAGTATGTGATTCAAAAATAAAGTTGTTGTGTATGCATTTCTTCTAGAAAGATAAATGATCTTCCAACTAAAGGAGCTGGTGTTAGTAGGGACCAGGTTTGCTCTTAAAATTCAAATGAGGGCTGAGGGATTAAAAATTTACTTTGTTGGAATATATCATGTAGTTTGCTCCTTGTGAAAAATATTTTGGCAGGTGATAGTTCCTTTTAGGTGATATAGGTGAAGGAATATGCTCTGAAAGGGAATGATTTTTGGTATGTTGAATGCATATCTCATTTCAGCTAGAGCTTGAAAAAAGTTATTAAAATTGAGAGTTGAAGCTAGGAACCTTTTTATTGTTGGGGTTAATTCGTCGTTGGTAAATAATAGTTGGAAATGGGAAAGAATAACGGAAAAAAGGAGAGCGTGCAGTGACAAAGTCTCATTTGGTTCCCTTTATATATTCCTAAACACTTCGTCATAGCTTGGATGATTATCCTAAATAGACTGCCAACAAAAGATAGGTTTACTTGAATGGAGATTGACACGACTAGAATTTGTGAATTTGTGGTATTGACTTGAAAACCAAAACTCATATTTTTGTGATTGTTCTCACTCCTGTAGTGTTTGGAATAAGGTTATGCAGATTTGTGGGTTGCCTTATTGGTCGATCGTTAGGAGGATAGTTTGATGTAGGTTATAGATAATTTGAAGGGAAAGACTTGTTTTTTGTTTTCTTTAGTTTGTCTGGACCGACTTTTTGCATTATGTCTGGGAAGAGTGCAATTACAGACAATTTAGGAGGATTACTTGTTCGGTTGATGTATGGGTGAGTGTATTAGGGAGATTGTTCGTATAAAATTGCATGGTTATTGCATTAGTCTGACATGGTGAATTTTATGTTTTGAGCGGGGGATTCTTTGAAGTGTTCCCTTATTGGTTGTAACTTATTGCAGTTGTTGCTTTTCTTTGGATAATTTTTTAAATAATATAAGAATATTATTTATCTAAAAAAAGTTAATTAGTATTATATTATATTATATTATATTATATGATATTGGTGAATGAATAGAACAATGCTCAAGCTAACTTGGCAGGCTTTGAGATTTTATAAACTAGGGCGTCTGATGCAGGAAGCTATAGTTTAACCCACAAAGTGTACAGGTCTTGGTTTACAATGGGCGGGATTTTGACCCAAAAAGAGGCCCTAAGAAAACTATTGTCCACAAAGCAACATACAAGCCTTCCAATAAGGGCATATTCGGTTCAGTTTTCAATAAAATACGAATCGAAGCGTATTTTATAAGTTTTTAAAAATTAAAATCGAATGGCATAAAAATTATAATTTTTGGTTCGATTCGATTTAGTCTTGTGATTTTGGAGGGTTCATTATTGTTCAAACTCAACAACTAAATTCTAAAGTAAGCAAATTTAAAATATAGATCGAGTGAAAATATACACATTTAAATTATAAAAAAAATTATTATTTTTAAGATTTTATTTTAATTTTGTCATATAATAAATTTAAATAAATTTATTTTGGATAATTATTTTTTTTAGTTCGATTTGATTTGGAACAAACGGTTTCCATATCAAAAA